AATTTTATTTAAAGTTTAACTGAAATAAAATAAGATATAAAAAGCTTATTTCATTTCAGCTAGTTGCCAAGCAACATTTCTCATTTTCATTTAAGTTTCATTTAAATTTAATTTGATGTACTAAAATAGCTAAAACTGAAATAAAAAAATTAAAACTAAATTAAAACAAACAAACAAAAAAAGAATATAAAAAACGAACAAAATGACTAAAACTTTAACTTCAAATGAAAACATAAAATATAAAACTAATTCAATATATTAGTAAAAACATAATGATAACTATAATGATCCTAAAATAACGGTGCAGGAAAGGAGAGATTATTGTCCTGCCCTCATGCTGGTGCACACATCACCAGAGAAGAAATGTCATTGGGAGGGGGAGGGGAAGTTAATGTTGATTGAAAACAAGGGCAAAAAAAAAAGAAAGAAAAAAAGACAGGTTTCTGATTGAGGTTCGTCTTACCTGTGGAAGCCCCTATGGCTCCGATCAGGACAGAGGGAATAGCCATGATGATACAACCAAAGGCAGCCAGGAAGGAGAGGACTTGAGCGTAGGTAGCTGAAGAGGCAGAAAGAACCCTTTGAAAATACACCTGCCAGGGAATCCCCCCCAACATCTAGAAACAGAAACGTCCTTGTAAATACAGACACCAGACAGCATGATACAGATGCATAACACCAAGAGTGCATTATAACACAATAAACGTTAAAGCTATTCTAAATATGGCAACCTACAGGAGAAAGAGTGACATGACTGGACAAGAATTACACTTTATTCAATCTCTCTCTCTCCATTTCTTTTGGTCTTATTTAGTTTTCCTCCCTACGAATGACTGCATTGTTCACTAAAGTGAGAAATTAGGTTTGGCCCTTCAGAATCAACAATTCTCCATTGGCAAAATCATTGTGTCTCCATCCCATCATGCTACAGTGGGTTGTCCACTCACCAGAAGGCAGAAATTGTCAGCCCACATCCATTTGTCAGGGCTTTCTATCTTCCCAAGCCATGTGGTCTGATTAGCATGGAGCTGCTTCACTGCTGTCACTCCGATGTCAGACACAGCTGGGTTTGAGAGTGCAAAAGGGACGCTCACCCACTATAAAGAGAACATTTCCACTCTATTACTATGTAATTGACCATTTATAACATTGTAATACTCTTTATTTAACTTAATGTGTAGTAGGTGCTAGTGAAAACCAGCCAAATAGATTTTGGGCATTATACATTTTTCAGTTTTGTGTAATTATTATTATTATTTTTTTATTTATTTATTTTTTTTAAATGTACACATCAATTATGAATTATGTTCAGTTGATAATGTTATATTATTAATTTGTATTAATGATTAATTTTATTGAATAATGTAATAAATAAAATGAATTAATGAAAAGCAATTAATACATAACTCAAAGGAGGAAAAATATTTGATTTCTTCTTTTCGCTTCTTTATTCCTATTACTTGTATCTATAAAGGGTGGTTAAAGAGCCGTTACTGTCAAACCTGCACAGCAAACAGCCACTTTGATAAATCACAGAGTGTTCTGTGCTGCTGAAGACATGCAGACATGAATTAAGGGGAAAATGACGCCTTCAGTGACTTCATCGTGTGGTTCTGTGAAGCCTTACCAGTCCTAAAAAAATGCAGAAGAGCTGGACGACATCAGTGTAAGCCACTGAGTAAAGTCCTCCCACCAGTGTGTAGAAAATGGCAATAAGAGCCGAAATAATCACAGACATATTGATGTCGATGTCAATGATCACACTCAGTGTGGCCCCTGTGATGCAAACAAAGGATGTTTAATTAAAGCTTTACTGCAGTATTTATTGAATATGTCCTAATACAATTATGAAAGAACATGCAAATTTACTGATTGTGTCTTTCTAAGAAATCATTTCCCTCTCTTTTCTTACCAAGGGCAGATAAGATGGCGGCTGACCAGAACATTTCCCCCATTAGTGCAGGGATGAATAGCAGACCACCCATCCTTTTTCCATACAGTTGCTGGAAGGGGTCAAGCATGGTGACGTAACCCCGGGAGCGCATGGGTTTTGCAAAGAAAAGGCCACCTTGACATGAATCAATTCATAGAAGTTATATGTTTGACATATATATGCTTCTAGTTCTGCTAACTTTAACACTGAACATATGTTTATATCAAAGCTGCATACACACGCAACATACCCACAACAAGGCTGAGCGCATATCCAAAGGGAGCCTGTGCCCATGCCAAGCCGTAGCCGGGAAGATACACATTCTCTGCTGTGCCATTGATATAACCCCCTCCAACCCAAGTTGCTGGAATGAGAGAGGACATTCAAACTGACTCCTCTTGAAACTATATATATATATAAACGAAGTTAGTTAACATTAATAATAAATATGTTTGAGTATCGTTCATTGTTCAAGTTAATTTCAACATGTATTTACTAATACATTTTTAAATCAAAGTTGTATCTGTTAACGTTTTGTGTGCGTGGAGAAATAACATAATTGGTAACATAAATTATTAAATAATTAGCAACAGTACCAGTATGTATCTACAATACATGAAGAATAAAATAAGTACATAAACCAAACGAAACGGCAGTTGTAATATGGAAATTAAATACAATTTAAGCAGGCTACATAATGTAGTATTATATATCTAGTCCTACAAATTTTCGAATTTTACTTCCGAAATTGCTTGCCTACTTTAATGTAGAAAGACAAAGACATCATCTCATCATGTTTTTAAGCTTCTTTTTTTTGTTGTTACAAAAAACAAAATGCCATTCATTTTATATATACAAACAGTAAAACGCTTTTTTATTTAGTTCTCTCTGAAACTCACCTGTCATGGTAAATGCGCCGACAAATAATCCAATATCCCTTCCGCCGACCATAATGGTCTCACTGCGATCAACTCCCTCCACCACGCCGGAATTCTTGTTTTTCCATGCTGCCCAGATTCCCACTATAAGGATCAGCAAGTAGAAGATGACAATCGCCACCAACCCCTCCACGTGGATGTTCATCTTCTCTCTGCTAAAGTCGTTGGATCTCTAAAGAACCGAAATTCATTGAGACCTAGGGAAAAGAGACCAAAAGAGGTATGTAAGAAAAGAAGGGAGAGTTACAAAAAAAAATCTATTCAGAATCAGACTATTTTGCTTCTAAACACATTTAAAATGATTTAAAATGGTTACATTTCTTAATAGTTTTTCAGTCACTTCTTGTTTTTTTTTTTTTTTTAACATTTCATTCCGAGGACTTCCAACTATTTCATAATTCAACATCATAAGAAAAGTGCCTCACCTTTGTGAATCAGCCGCCAGCCACTCAACTGCCACCAACAGTGCAAAACAGAGCCTAACTATCGCCTCAGGAGAAGAGCAGTACAGCACATTTCAGAGTCAGCCAAACTAACTGTGAATCTTATAGGAGCAGGTTTCGTCAGAGGGTAGATGAACGTCAGAGAGATGTGAATGGGGGCTATTTATGAATAAAGATGTCAGATCGTGCAAATGATCCGCGCGTCACTGGAGGTTATCAAGTCAACTGAAAATCGCTAGACGGGGGGAAACTGCTGTAAATCAAGAGTAGTGAAATATATCGGTTCCATTCATGTTTTTCTTGACTAGTATTTCTTGGCAGTCTGTATGAGTATAAGCGCACTGTCTCAGCAGTGGTGGAGCAGCAAGTGCAGGCGCTGTCCAGAGTGCTGAGTACCCAAGCAGCTCCCGCACCAGCCCCACAAGCTCTTCAGACGCCAGCCAAACGCTCCAAATTCAGGTGTATTGTGAAAAGACAAAAGGAGTACGGAGGTTATGTACAATCTATGTAGACAAGCTGAATATCACTGACATTAAATAACGTTTAAAGAACACGACAGTGTTTCAACAGTGCGTTTTTGTCTTATTCTTTTTTTTCTGATGTATTTTACACGTTTACACGTTCTTTATTTGTTTTAAACTTTTCTATATATAGGCTAAAAACAAAGCATTTAATAAAACCACCTTTGTTCATGTGGGTTAGGGTCTTAATAACAAATAACGAATTTATTCAAATCATACAAATAAAAAAAAAAACACTAGCATTTATTCAGTTATGTTTGACTCTTTTTGTGCTGTGTTCATGGGTTCTAAATTCGCACAGAATTGAACAATTCTTGACATTCTGCCACCCAGTGGCTAAATATAGCGTATAAGATTTCATGATGTGCTTTCCCAGTGGCTTTAGTTGGTTCTGTATGCTAGCTACATGGTAAAGAAAGAAAGAAAGAAAGAAAGAAAGAAAAAGAAAGAAAGAGAATAAAATATATTTATCGACTCAGGAGAGCATTATGGTACTTCAAAATACCAGTTGTATAAACACTTTATAAAAAGGTGCTAAATAGCACTAAAAGTGGTTCATTGGCTCAGCACCTTTGTCAAATGGTGCTATGTAGAACCATTAGAGAAACCCCAATCTCCTCCTGAAAAAAAGCTGTTTTGAATCACTTTTATGCTTTTCTGAGGTCAAAAATTCTTGTGTGGCGGCCCTGGAATATATTTCCTTATAGGGGGCCATGGGGGCAAAAATATTAAGAAACACATTATCATTAATAACATTATACATATACATATAACATTATAATATACAGGAAATACAGTGTATTTTAATGTCGTTTTTTAATCCCTTCTCCAACTAAACTAAGATAGAGTTAGAGAACCTGAACCACTGGAGAACCGCTGAAGAACCTTTGTGTGTGTGTGTGTGTGTATGTTTTGTGTGTAGCCTACACCTTATAGCCAGGTTAGACCATATTGAATTTAAGCGAATGAAAACGAGGCTGTGATTGATAGACTACAGACGTTGGAACCGTAAAGGTCGGAGATCACGTGACCCCCCCAGGAAGGACATTTAGTCAAACTTAAACAACAGTAGACTACAATCAATCACACACTGTACACTGTACCTACAACTTCTCTCACTCAAAACCACGTTATGATTCATGCCAAAACTTAAACATGGCGCTACCCTGACTAAGGTTTATAAGAATTTTAATAACATTCACGGTTTTGTGGTATCAGTTTGGTCATGAAAGCTTTTATAGACATTTTTATATTTGCTGAAACAGGATTCCCGCGAATTAATCTCCAGAATTTGGTCGCTAATTGCTCTTTAAATGTGACAGTTCAGGGTTTAATTATGCATGGTGGTGTATAAACAGGCTATTCTGAACAAAATGTAACTAATTTCCTTGAGAAATAAGAATCTTCCGTAAAAGAGAGAATGCAACTCTCTAAACGAACCAATTTAATGGAAGCTAGATATCTTCTACCTCAAACGAGTCGACTAGGCTAATTTAACCATTTTGACAGCCTGCCTAGTGAGTTCCAATTATAAGCACACGGGATCTAACATGTTCCTGTACAGATGTTGCAGTTCTTTGTAGCTTAGAAAAGGCTTGGTCAAGATCCATCAACAGTTTTCAACAGCGTGTCTTTTTTTGGCACAGCTTCTAGAAAATAATAGACCTGGAATTTGGCAGAAAAAAAAAAGTTATCTGACCGTTTAAGGAGAATAAAGGTTGATAAAGTCAGATAGGAGAATGACTAGGTATTTTTATGTTTATCTGGATTCACTTGAAATAAAGTGTGTCATTCTGATGTTTTCTTCTAGATCCCTCGGTGCATGGGAACAGTCATGGTGCACAGATTTTGCTCAGCTAATGAGCACACTTCACATCTGTTTCGTGTTCTTTGAAGTGTGTCACAGAGAGATGCACACGCACTTTTTCATGGACAAATGAACAGCAGATTTGACAAAACTGTTAGCAATAATAATAATAACAAACACCAAAACAAAATATATTCAATGTAAAAACGTGCCTACAACAACCATAATAATAGGTGCGCCTATATGCACTATGTAGCTAATGCGACTCGGGTGATACATTTGTGAAGAAAACAAAGTACACTTAATAATTTCAAAGAAAAAAGAATTTTAGGAAGATAAAGAAACTCATATTGTGTACATTTTATCTCCTGTTAAACTACCTGTTGTCCGTCTTTCAAATGTGAATTACCAAATAAGTTGTTACTGCCATCTAGCGGCACAATGGGGAACTAACTTTCGAAATCACCACCAGCGGCCCTTACGCTGTAACTGCATATGAACGGCTGGTACTTAAAATTTCAGTTTTCCATCTATAATACGGCTACCGTACATTAGAAAATTAGACATAAAAGAAACTATACTTCTGTTCACGGCAGCAGCGGAGAGAAAAAAAACGGTATTCGCCATTTACAAAGGGAGAAGGAAAGTGACAAGCAGTGGGAACTTAGAAGATACAGGGTCCCGCATCAGCGTCACGTCTGTCACGCATGGCTAAACGAGACGATCTGACACTGAGCACGGAGCTCAGAGTCTCCACTGTGTTTTATATCCGCTGTCACTTCTTCTCGGGGATCTGCACAGTGTGTCTCTGGTGCTGCCGGTTCACTGGCACCAGACGGGAGATGGAAATACTGCATATTTTCCATTTGCTGTTAGATTAACGGGACAGTCCACTCATAAATTAAAATTCTGTGATCAATTACTCTTAAGTCGGTCCAAACCTGCATGATTTCTGTGAATCACAAAATAAAGACAATTTGTAGGTTAACTGTGACTTCCACTGGAAGGAGGAAAACTGAGACATTTATCTTAATATCTTCTTTCAAAGAAAGGCATATTGGAATGATATATAAGAGTGAGAAAATGACAATTTTCATTTTTGGGTGAAAACGAATACCTTTATTCCTTAGAATTGGCTGGGCCTTGCAGCTATGGTGTTTGAGATGTACTTTGTTTAGTCTGGGGGAATTAATTTGTAAATCGCGTTATTTTGCTAGAAAGGAAGATTCTCTCCTCCACTCAGACAAATTTAACCTGGACCCAACAAACGTAAGCAAAAAGTGACAGTGCTGCATTCCTTTACAACAGATACCAGATCAAAATCTGGCACAAATGCTGCTTGGGCTACACTACAAAATACATATATTCCAAGAGTTCTGATACACAGGCCAGCAGCACTGGGAATTTTCAGTGTTTATACTGTATCACTCTGTTCAGACAAATGGTCAGTGTGTACATAAGTGGATAGGATTCTTCAGTGACCGTTTCTGCAGGTTACATGGTTATATTAGTAAGTGGCAACAAGTATGAGTGCTAGGAGCACATTACTGAATCATTCCTAGTCGTTTCTTTCAGAAACGAAACACGTGGCATGCAGCATTGATCCTGCTTTGGCTTTGTTTGGATCTATTTTATTTGGCAGAGAAAAATAAATAAAGTAACTGCCAATATTGGGTCTAAAGGTAAACTACTCTTTCGGTATACTGAACCACAGCTATAACACACTCGTATTCGTGCAGCTGTTCTGTTAATAACGCTTAAATCATCACATAATTAAATGAGATGAAGCTCCAGCTGATGTCTTCAATGAAAGCATAGTGCAGCTTTCTCTCTCATAGAGAGAGAGAGATCATACACAGACTAAGCCCCAGAGTTTGTTTATTCTTTAAACATTCTATTACAAGATCCCTTATTGATGAATAAAACCGCAATAAGAAGAAAAAGAAAATGCTAAAAATCTGTAATCTGTCTAGACAAAACAAGACAAAAATGCAGCAACAATTCCTTTATAAACATATTTATGGAAATTAATTAACTCCAGAACAAAGAGAAACATTTCCTTTGTGGTTTGAGGTGTCATAATTTCTCATTTTCATACTGTTCAGAGGCAACATGCATACAATGCATGAAAAAGTAAATCATAGCAAAATAGTGACTAAACAGCACTACTGTACATCACTACAGTAACCAGCTTTGACCAATTTTTTATTTCAAAGCAATGGAATAAACACTGCTTGGGAAAGTTTTCTATCTATTCATAAACAAACAGCTAAGATATAAAATATTAGCCACGGTGCTCAGCTGTCTGAGAAACTTGTTACAGTGAGTTTCTCAACAGATTTACTTTACAGCATTGGCAGCCAAGAAGAGTAGTGTAATTCATCAAGAGAGAAATGTAGCATATGTATTCATCAAGAGAGAAGGTGCAATGATCAAATATTAGATGCATTGTCACAGACAAAATTTACACGTTGATAATAGCATAATAGCTCAGGTGATCAAAAGTGGTGAAATGCGGTCACACTACACTTTGAGCGTGCGAAATTCGTTCGCACGCTGCAACGATCGTGATATGACGTCATGCTCTGCAGCGTCTTTTTAAAAACTTAAATTCAACACATAAACAATAATAATACACCTAAAATGTAAAAACATACAATCTACTCCACTTTCCTGCAGCGCTGCAGTTTTAGATTTATATTCTTTTAAATCAGATAGGAGGTCATGCTGTGACGTATCGATCTGCCGTTGGTTACACGGTGTCACGTGAAGCGAATTCACAGGCCAGAGTTCACCAAGTTTGAACTTTGGAACGCAGCGAAATGCGAAAACTTTTCGCACGGGCTTGCATTTCCGGTCTGACGCATTCGCATGCGTATGAATGGAAGTCAATGGAACGAAAAGTGTAGTGTGACCGGGCCTTTACTCATTTGGAGTAAAGCCAGAAATGTATATAGACAAATTTAATTTTTGTTTAAATTCCAATGTGCTCTTTATGCATTCTGGACAATAGGGAATCTGTCAATCAATTATTGGGCTAATAGGTTAAACTTCACTAGTTATATGTGGCTTTAAAAGAAAACAACTGTCAGAATAATGTTTGTGGCGAGATTTAAAGAAAAGTCTCAACTGACCACTTGTGATCAGATCAACTGAGACAGTTGTTCATACCTAGAGCAAACAGGGCCATAATCAAAGCCAAACAGTTTATTACACTACCAACCTAACTGACAAACACCGTTTTTGTGCCCAAAGGTGAAGATCTGTTTTGTTTGGCTCCGCCATTGCAGCTGGTGATTTTATATTTCAGGAGGGTTTTACGTTTTCATCGTTCTGATTTGATCTGTTAATGGGAGGGGGAAAAAAAACAGAACAAGGATTTAACTCATTATACATTTTGATGCATTTTGACTTATAAAAAAGTTTGAGATAAAGGTGAGATCTTAAAGGGGTCATATGATGCGATTTAAATTTTTCCTTTCTCTTTGGAGTGTTACGAGCTCTTGGTGCATAAAGAAGATCTGTAAAGTTGCAAAGACTAAAGTCTCAAATCCAAAGAGATATTCTTTATAAAAGTTAAGGGTCAACCACGCCTACCTAAAACGGCTCGTTCTAACACGCCCCCACATCTTCACGATGTGGGAAGATTTGCATAACGCTGCCCAAATGTTCACGCAAAGAAAGAAGGCGTAACTTTTATTCTTGCTGTAGTATTGTTGTTGCCGCCGCCGCCATTTCGTGAAGGCACTGTGTTTCGTTGTGAAAGCGAAACTACTTTGTTTGGCCTTCCAAAAGAGGACGATATCCGCTTTGTCATGCCTAGAGCTGATCCGTGCTGGTCGCTGAGGAAATACACGGGGTCGTCACATGTGGTTGCCGCAAGCCCTCTGGACGCTCCTTCGTCGAATCCGCCGGCTGCGCCGTTCTCCAGCCCGCGCTCCTCTGCTCACTCAAGCCAGCCTCCGCTCACTCAAGGCCGCGGTGTGTGACGCTTTTTCGTTGTGAAAGCGAAACTACTTTGTTTGGCCTTCCAAAAGAGGACACGACTAGAAATCAGTGGTTAAGTTGTATTTACAACACTGTTTCAGAACAGTTTAACCCAAATATTCAGATGTGTCTGTCCAGCGCATTTTATGGAGGACTGTTTCCTGATCCTGGTAGAGTAGACTACAATGACGGCTGTTCTGACTCACAGACTGTAAGTACGTTTTTTATATTTAAAGAATTTGCCACTGACGATTCAAACAAGTTTTTTGGGCAGTGTAGAGTAGCACTTGTTGTTTGTCATTTCTCGATCACAAATGCAGACATGGTTTTATGTTACGCTCCGGCCGGACAGGGCATCACAATATGGTAAGGGGCTTAACATTTCCGTCACACGCTTGAGGTATTCGGCCAATCACAACGCACTGGATAGCTGGCCAATCAGGGGCATAGAGGAGAAACAATAATGTACAGTATGTGGAAAATAATGTGTTTCTCGAACCTTAAACCGCATAAACACATTTCATTACACCAAATACACAAAATAATGTTCTTTTTAGCAGCATCATATGACACCTTTAAATTGTTGGATTGACTGGACCAAACTAAAACACTGGGTAGAGGAGAACAGACAGCTGTGAACTTCATTGTTACTGACTTACTCAAATGCACCTCTAACAACAAGAAGGAGGGGGGTCTGAAATAGTTTTGCATCAGTTTGGGCTGTATCCAATCTTTGAGATACCATCAAATGATTATTTGCCTTTGAATTTCTTCTATAAGGCCAAAGTGAAGTGTAAATTGGTGCAAGAATAAATACAGGCCAAAAGTGAGTTCTAACATTAAAGTTATATTTAACTGTACAATTAACCAAAGATCACACACATCTGGGAACTTAAGCGTCAGTACTTACTGTGGAATTTGTTCTATGGGTGAAATAAAACAAGAATATAAAAGGCATTTGAACACTGTAAACAGTTTATATAGTATATACATTTTTTTGTGGCATCCTTCTTAAAAAGCATTTCAGCTCATCTCTGTAGAAACTGATAACTTAAAGACAAACAGGAAATTAGATGCACAAAACAAGGAATAGGTGTATTTACCTTGCAGCCAGTCTACACCCTCCTGAAGACCTTCTCCTTTCACTGCATCACTTGCACTGTAATTGATTTAATATATGAATTTAATATGTATACTGCATGTGTATAACATATATGCACAATACCATTCAAATATTTGGGGTCAGCATGATTTCTTTTTTTTTTTTTTTTTTTTTAATAATACTTTTATTCAGCAAGGACACATTAAATTGATCAAAAGTGGCAGTGAAGCTGCTTGCATCGACTACGTTTACATGGACATCAGTAATCAAATTATTTACCTTATTCTAAATAAGCCAATATTATGATTGTGGTGTTTACATGAGTTGCTTTTAGAATATTCCTTTCATGTTCCCGTTTTACAGGTTATAGTACATAGATCGATTAATGGCGCACGTTATTACATCACCACGTTACGCCATCCGACGTCCCCTCCGGAATTTCACATCTAAACATATAGTTCGTCTTTGTTATGGTGCCATGTACAGTTTTGGGTGTTTAATTTTTAATTTTATGAAAGCTTCAAGTGCAGTTAATTATTTGTACGTGCATACAGACGACAGCGGGTGTTGAAGCTCTTTTATTAGCCGTCAAACGGTTGAGCACTGCCGTGTGTGTATCAGGTCGCAAAATGCAGTGAAAAGTCCTACACGACAGTAATAATGTGATTAAGGTGTGTACATGTCTATACTGCACTTCAATAATGCGACTAAAATAGGAATACTCCACATGTCTTAACTCGATTTCTGTTTACTTCGAATATGACTTTAGCCGGATTAAGGAAATCAAACATCTCTGTTTACATGGTAGATTCTTAATCAGAGTATCGTCTTAATCGTGTTAAAATCGGATTATTGTTGTCCATGTAAACGTACTCACTGTTACAATGTTTTATTTCAAATACAAATTTAACTTTCTATTCATCAAACAATCCACAAAAAAGTATCACTGTTTCCACAAAAATTAAAAATTAAGCAACAACTTTGAAAACAAAGTGCATTGATAAAATAAATATTTCTTGAGCATCAAATCAGCTTATTATAATTTTTTTTTTCTGAAGGATCATGTGACACTGAAGACTGGAGCAATGCATTACAGGAATAAATTACATTTTATTATTAGACAATAATTTATTTTAATAAAAAAAAAGTTCACCATATTACTGTTTTTACTGTAGTTTTGATCAAAGAAACACTGCTTTGGTGAGCGTGATAAACTTCTACATTTTTTTTACAGACTCCATATATAATATAATATAATATAATATATAA